CTCTTTTCTCCTTTTTCTGATTAATCACGGCTTGTCTGTTGACACCAACCTTTTCCCCCTCTGGATCGTAATCTTCTCTTTCTTCAGTTAATCACTGCTTGTCAGTTAATATACCAAATCCCCAGTAGATCTTACCTTGTCTCGATTCAATTCCTTTGCTCCTTTACTCTCTTGGTTTCGACACCATTCCTTTGCCTTTCCTTCTTGGTTTTAACACCATTATGTGGTTTTTCCCTAGTAGAGCCTTTGGTTTCGCTCTTGGTTTTGACGCCTTTTTCCTTTTCTTTCTCCGTCCTAGTTCCCTGAATTATTGAGTTCTTATTTCCTCATTGCACGGTGAGGATACGTAGGCACAAGATCGCGAGATCTTAGCGAGCTACCTTCTATCTTCTTCTATCTTTTTTCGTCCTTTTACCTTTTCTTCCTTGGTTCCATGAACTACAGGGCTTTGAATTCCTCATTGCACAATGAGGATACGTAGGCACGAGGGGCCAAATCCTCCACGAACACTTTCTCTTTCTTTATTTTTCTCTCCTTTCTCTCTCTCTCTTTAGCTAGAAGCCTTTAGATAGATAACTCATCCGAGTCTAAAAGCAAGCATAATGGTTTCCGTCGAGTACGAAGAATGCATGGGGTGCTAGTACCTTCCTCTCACATAACCAACCCCCTTACCTGTTTCTCTTCCCCTTGGATTTTATCGATATTTTTCATGTCCTATGAGACTAAATAAAGTTCGACGGCGACACAGTTATATCTTTGTGTGTGCGATTCACTCAGGTATAATTCCGCTAGCTTCAGGAGCTATTCTTAGATATGCTCTTATTGAGTCAGCTTGCAACCATCAAGGGCTAAGTGTTGGAAAAAAGGCATAAGCATCCTCATTGAGACAACAATTCACCTCCTCATGACTTTGATGGTGGATATAGTAATCGTGCTCCACATGCAGACCGTCAATCACGAATGCCTTATTCTTCGCATCGACCACAGAAAATGCCTGCACATCTCTCACTAGAGTCATCCATTATCTGCCGTAGATGGAACAATTTCACAAGATGAATCACTAAATGTCACATTTTGAAGTATGTTAAATATAATATTAAATTACAATTTTGCTCCCTTTATTTTATCCTATTCTATCCTATTCACACCGTTAATACATCTATTTCAAACTCAAATAGATTTGATCCGCACACGCACGCATACGTACACGCACTCATACATCCATATTTTTTTTACGAAAATAAAATATAAATATTTATTCTTCAATTACTTTTGACTAGATTACTTATTAATAATAACTCACTTGGAAAGTTGGAACGTATCAAATGAGAATATGAGAACCGAAAACTTATAATAATAATTCTATGTCTTAAATCAATGCCATATATTTTAAGAGACAATAGTTAATAGATGACTTAGAGCTTACATACAAAAAAAAATAAATATCTTGTTTATATAACCATTAAATATGTATTTTAAAATCTGAGCCATTGATTTAAATTACATGGTTATTATTAAACGTTGGCATTCCTCATTATAATAAAAGTTTTCATTTGATAAATCCGGCATAACTCATTATTCATTATAATATAAATATCAACAAAATATAATATTTTTTGGCATATTAATAAATATTATTGTATTTTTGTTTTTTTGAATTTTTTTTGAAAAACTTAATAGATTTAATCAAAATGAACTGTTTCCTTTTTTTAAACATCCATTTATGTTAATAGGTTAAAGAAAAAAAATTCTCACCTCCGTATATATTTTTTATAATTAAACTTTATATATTGTGAAAGAAGGTTGTCAATAAAATTTCAATATTAAAAGAATTGATCAACACTAATAGAGATCTAATCACCATTTGTGGTATGATAGGTAACTTACAAAAATAAATTTCATAGTTTTTCACGTCTGAAAGCGTAATTTTCAAAACTTTATTATTTCTATTCAAAATAGATTTTGTTATTTCACCTATTTTTTGATAAATGAAATTTTGATAATTGTTGTTAATATGGGGTAACTGATTACAACAAAACAAATATCACTTATGAGTTAAAGAAATTGGGCATGTATCGTGGCTGTAACCGGTTAATGTAACTACATAATTGGTTATCACTGAAAGATAATTATTTTTTGTAGTACATGTAACTAGTTATGTCTGAGTTTTATATTTTTTCAGTTATGTGTGTGAGTTGTGTCCCAAACATTTTGTATTGTTTGTAAAATGCCTGGGAGGCATCCTCATCATTGTTAATGCAAATTTACCTCTCACCCTCAATCATATCTCTCTCTCTCTCTCTCTCTCTCTCTCTCTCTCTCACACACACACACACACAATTTCTCTCTCCCTCTCCACACTATAATTTTCTCAATTATTCACCAGTCTTGTGGTTTCAAGTTTCAACATTTGACATCAAGAGTTTGGTTCTGATCCACAAACACCTAGTGTGCAACATGAATTCTGTTTCCAGTGAAATAATTCATGCAAACCTACCAATCCCTGATGCGAAGAACTACAAAAAATAATGCAAATAAATGAAGGTGTTGTTTGGCTACCAAAATGTTCTTGAAGTGATAAAAAACAGAGTGAGTCCTCTTATTGAAGGTGCAATGAGTAACGCATAAGGAAGATAAGAAGAAAGATTTCAAGGCGCTGTTTTTTATCCGTCAATGTGTGGATGGTGACAACTCTGAGAAAGTTGGTGATTGCGAATCATCAACACAAGCGTGAAATTTTTTAAAGAAGGCAGGGGATGAAGGCGAAAGCGGTGAGGTTACAAACTCACAAGCGTCAACTTGAATTGATTCAAATGGAAGATTAGGAGACAATCAACGATTTCACAACGAGAATCACTCGGTTGGTAAATCAAGTGAAGGCATGTGGAGAAACATTCACGAAGCAGTATGTTGTCGCAAAAATCTTGCGTTATTTAACACCAAGATTTGACAACGTGATTGTAGCGATTGAAGAATCAAATGATCTTGCGGTGATGAGCAAAAAGGAGCTGCAAAGCTCTCTTGAGGCTCGTGAGAAAAGAATTGAGGAGAGAAATACTGATAAGGCAAAGTTGGAGATCGCATTGCAAGCTCGCTTCAATGAGAAGAACAAGAGATCGAAAGGAAAATGCCCCGTGAAGAGTGAAGGAAAATTTTCAGAATTTTGGTGGAAGAGAGTCCTAAAATTTTAAGAATTCAACTTGTCATAGGGGTGAGAACAGCTGCAACAAAAATGGTGGTCAAGGAAACTTTAGAGGTGAAAGTAAGAGGTTTGACAAAAGTAAGGAACAATGCTTTAAGTGTCAAATGTTCGATAATTTTGCAAGAGAGTGCAATGTGAACAAGAAGGAACCTCAAGAAGATGAAGCTGAGGTTGCAAGACAAGAGTTTGATAAAGAGAATACACTCTTTATCATGATCACTGGAGGCAAATGTAGCAGCACCAGACTGCAAGAAAGCAACAACAACAATTCTGGGAATGCTGCAAAAATAGGCTGTAACCGGTTACGTGAAATCTGTAACCGGTTACATGTACAAGAAAATGTTATGGTAACTATGAGAGAAGGAGTCTAGTACAACGAAGAATGATATTTAGATCCTGAATGTTCTACTCATATGACGGGGATGAATGATTGGTTTGTTAAAATCAATCGTGCCATGAAGAACAAAGTGAAGTTCGCAGATGACACCATTCTAGCGGCCAATGGGATCAGTGATATTTTGATCATGAGAAGGGATGATGGAAATTCCTTGATCAAATATGTATTGTACATTCTAGAAATCAAATGTGACCTTCTAAGTATTGGCCAACTGCTTGAGAAGGGTTACAAGATTAACATGGAAAACAAGGAGCTGCATGTTATAGATGCAAACAAGATTTTGATCCTTAAAGCTCCTATGACTGCTAATAAAACCTTCAAGGTTGAGCTGGAGGTTATGGAGCATAGATGTCTTGTTGCAAAGACAAGTCTAGAATAGTGGATACGACACTATCGTCTTGGACATATCAATTTTCGAGATCTCAAAGACTTGCAACAGAACATAATGGTAACAGGGTAGTCATTGATCAACATACTAGCTGAAGTTTGTTAATAATGTGTGCAAGTAAAGCAACATAAGGGTAAATTCAGCAAGGATGCAGGTTGTAGAACCAAGAATCACCTTGAAGTGGTGCATTCTGGTGTGTGTGGACCGATGCAAGTAGATTCCATTGGTGGCAATAGATATTTTGTCACATTCATCGACGATCATAGTAGAAAGTTATGGGCATACCTAATCAAAAGAAATGATGAGGTATTTGAAGTGTTTAAGAAGTTCAAGTTCATGGTTGAGAAGCAAAGTGGTCACAAGCTCAAGTCCGAGTTTTCTGTTTTTCCAGTTATGTAATTGTGTGACTTGTGTCACAATCATTTTGTATTGTTTGTATAAATGTCTTGGAGGCATCCTCGTCATTGTTAATGCAAATTTACTTCTCACCTTCAACATTTCTCTCTTAATTCTTCTCTCACTCTCAGCACTTAAATTTTCTTCATTATTCACCACTCTTGTGGTTTCAAGTTTCACATTTTCAACAGTATTTTTAGATATAATCGTGTTTTGGTTGATTTTTATAGATAAAACAATAAACTACCCGTGTTTCTCGATTTTAATTGTTGTTTCACAAAAGCAAAAGGATCAAATTTTAGTTCCAACTTTTCACAATTTATTTTTTGCAGGTTAAGTTCATATGGCATGTTTCTCTTTCATGTGTGGTTATATAATAGAATCATGTATTTTAGTGAATCATGAGACAACACCATAAACAAAGCATAATTATACTATGTGTATCTAACAAGAAAGTAATGGGATGAGTTCTAAAATATTGATCTTCTAATTCTACCATTGGATCTCCTTGACCAGATTAGTAGCTCTTTATTAATTGATCATTAAATTACACATGCTATTAGTTTGATTCATTATGGTCTTATATAACTAGATACACAATTGGTTGTGTCTCAGCTTCAATTGTCAAAATTTTGCACTTCTGAGCCAAGGAGTTTCGGCAGCGGCACTTGATCTTGTTTACGATCTTGTTTACATATCCAATACCCGCACTTTTTAACCTTCCGACTCATAAAATCCACATCCATACCTCTGCCACTACGAATGCAAAAATACAACTCAAAATGATCAAAATGGCTGAGAGTTATGTTCATAGACTTCAAAAAATATAAGATTGATTCCAGAGGGAAATAGATTAGACACATGTGATCTAATTTGATCTCAATAAGATCTCTTTCAAGAGTTATGGGAATAAACCAAAACGGGTAAGGGACAATTTTACTATGATAAATACATAGTTCTATTCCAGGTCTTCGTCCACCCGTTATGTGCTTGTCAATAGGTGTAATAGAAAATACTGCACAACAAGCGATGCCACTGAAATTATTGTCATTGCCAGGCATAATGGTAGATAGATCTATTTTTGTTGAATGACCCTCACTCTGATTATTGCACCAACTTGGTATTTCACTTCCTGGAACTACGAAACAAATCTGATCATAGATTGAAGTGAATACTAGGTTTGTCTGAATAAACTGTGTCATCCATGAAAAATTGATAGTACTGCCAACTTCCCTCTCACTCAATTTAGGACAATTGAAAATCACCATTCCCTTCGTGATCATAGGTTTCTTCTTTCGAAGGCTGCAATCGATAGCAGTAGGAAAAGGAAGTTGAGGCAAAGATTCCAAAAGCGTGCAATGCTCCAAATTTAAAAATACAAGTCTGGAAAGCTCCTTCAGACTAGGCAACGTTACAAAATTGTTTCCACCTAAATTTAAGTCTTCTAGCCAACTTAAACATCCAATTGCATCAGGGAGTTGGCTTAGACCACAAAAACTAATATCAAGTTCAACCAAGCTAGAGAAACTGATGAAGAAAGGCAAATTTTCACTTATATTGAAAATCCTTTGATTGTTAAACATTTTGGGACACCCAAAAGGATTTACACATTCAAGAGAGCTGAGACCAAATATGTTGTTTGGTATGCTGGTTAGATTTTTGCAATCTTTCAAATTCAAGAAAACAAGCTTATTTAGAACCCCAATAGAAGGATCCATCTGCACCAACTTTACACATCCTTCAAAACTTAATCGCTCAAGATTTGGGATATATTTAAAATCTGGCATCTTTTCTAGATTTTTTGAGTGGCTCAGATCCAAACTTCTCAAATGGGGAAAATACTGTCACAGACCAACAAAAATAGAAAAATAAAACTCTCATTTTGTGCATAAACTTAACATAAAGAGGGGGAGGGAGCATTTTCTTTGTGATTTGTTCATGTTACATTCTTAACAGGAAAAAATAAACAAAAAGGGAATATACATTATATTGTACCTTCTTGTCTTTCCATAGTTGTTTGACGTTGCTCGATATCAAGATCAATTCAACAAGATGATTAGGCTGAAAACTTGATGGCAAATACTTTAAAGGATAATAATTCCACTGCATGTATCTTAACTCGTTCGAAAGGCAACTCAAGTTTTGTAAAAAATCAACTCCCTTCAGTATGAGCAGTTTTAAATTGCTCATTTTTGACAATATTTCACCCGTGATCATATCTGGCGGTTCTTCAGATATGTCAAAACAAATGGCTTCAACCTTCTTTTCCTAAAACGTTGCAACAAAAAAAAAGAAAAACATCAAAAACTTTCAAACTAAAAATAAGTTTTATAATTTCAAACTACTAATTTACCATATTCTCCAACTTAGCATTGTAGAACTGTTCCGGAAACCACACTCTGCTCCACTTTCTTGATTTTTCTTGAACAATTTTTTTGCCCAACTTTTCTAACAAACCATGCATACTTATAATACAAGTATTTTCCGAATTGCATATAAGTGATTTATCAACTAAAACTCTCAATCCAATTTCAGCATGAAATCCACAACAATTAAGAATATTCATAACATATTCCACACTTCTAAAGTTGAAAAAACAAGCAATATGAAGAAATATTTCCTTTTCTGTTTCCTCCACCAAGCCATCAAAACTTAATTGTAACACATCCATGATATCTTTATTTGGACTTTCTCTCAATCTGGACAATGCACTTTCCCATTCAACGATACTCCGACCAAACAAAAATGAGCCCAATATTTTAATTGCCAGTGGCAAGCCATTTGCATAACGTAGTATGTCACATGCCAACTTATCATAACTACTCACAATATGATCAAGTTTGAAAGCTTTTCGACTTAGTAATTGAAGAGAGTTTTTATCATTCAAGAGTGGAACTTTGTAAACAACATCCACTCCATACTCTTTCAATATATGCTCATCTCTAGAAATTATAATTATTCTACTCCCTAGACCAAACCATTAATGATCTAATTTCTCGAGTTGCTCAACTTGATTAACATTGTCAATAGTTATAAGGGCCTTTACACGACATAGTCTATTTCCTATTTGGTTAGATGCGTTGCAAGAGTTGAATGTTTGAAGCTGTTGATCGCCCAGAGTTTGAAGTAGAATCTGCTTTTGTGCACTGATCGGATCTTGCCTATAACTTTTGCTTAAATCGTCAATAAGGCAGCACACATCAAATTGATGAGAGATTTTGTTGTATAAAGCATTAGCAAGAGTTGTCTTCCCTATTCCACCCATCCCGCAAATTCCTACAACACAGAGATCATCAAACGAGTCCAAAAGTAAATGCTTTTCTAATTCTTGTATAGGAGAGTGTATCCCTACTAAATCTTTTGGAATACTTGAAAACTTGCAACCTAATATCTTTATAACCTCTTCAACAATCTTTTCAATCTCTGCATGTTGTGGCCTGCAAGTTTAAAACAGTTAAGTAACAACACCAAATTATCACTTGCCAAAACTAAAACAAAAGGCACAAATACATAACAAATAATAGTTTCTTTTTTTCTATTTTCCGTTTTAGAAAAAAACTCTTTGGATTAAATAAAAAAATTTGTCAGGGGCTTTTGATTTTTAACTACGTTAGTGTGTCAAGCTTTAAAATTTGCACAAGTGTTTGGAATTGTTTAGATGATAGTTGGTAGAAGATAGTTTTAGAGAGTAGTTTAGAAAGAAGGTTTTATGATTAATTTCTTGGATGATAGTTTACAATGTAGCAAATGCCTATTTATAGGCTCAAGTCACCAACCTTTCAATGGTGGTGAATATTCTAGAGTTCTCATGATAGGTTATTATCATGATAAATCTAGATTTTTCTATCTTTGCCATATACTTATATATTTAGATTATTCTACCATATTCATACACCTTATAGTTTCTAGGATGTTCTATATTTTCTTACATATTATATTTAAGAACTCTCTAGAAATTTGTAGCAAATTTAACACTCCTCCTTGATACAAATTTCTTTAACTCCAAGCATAGCTCGTAGCTCTTCAAATATTGGTCTCGGCAACGCCTTCGTGAATATGTCTGCAATTTGATCTTCTATTCTGCAGTAGTCGAGTTTGATCTCTTTAGTTGCTTCAGCTTCTCTTATAAAGTGATACTTGATTGCTATATGTTTTGTTCTACTGTGATGCACTGGATTCTTTGCCATTGCAATTGCTGATTTATTGTCGCAATTGATTTTAGTTGGCTGATCCTGTTTTTCTCCCATGTCTTCAAGTATCCTATGAAGCCATATAGCCTGACTCGTTGCTTCAGCAGCTGCCACGTACTCTGCTTCTGCTGTGGATTGTGCAACCGTAGCTTGCTTCTTCGACGCCCAAGAGAAAATTCCTGATCCGAGTGAGAAAGCATAGCCAGAGGTGCTCTTCATGTCATCTATCGAACCTGCCCAATCACTATCGGTGTAGCCAAGTAATCCTGAGTTAGTTTCAGTAGAGTACCATATACCTAACTCTTTTGTTCCTTGTAGATATCTCAAAAAAAAATTCCTGCTCCAAAGTGTATTTGACTTGGACTTTGCATGAATCTTAATAGAAGACTTGTAGCATACATTATGTCTGGCCGCGTAGCTATCAAATATAGGAGGCTTCAAATTAAACTTTGATATTTGGATGCATCAGCTTCTGGTGCTCCATCATTTTTTTGTAGTTTCTCATTTGTTATGAGTGAGGTAGCGACAGGTTTGCAATCGTACATCTTGAATTTCTTAAGTAAGCCTTTTGTGTATTTCTTTTGTGAGATGAATATCCCTTCATTTCTTTGGCTTACCTCTATACCAAGGAAGTAACTCATCAAACCAAGGTCGGTCATCTCAAAGGTCTTCATCATGTCTTCTTTGAACTCCGTTATCATCTTAGTATTGTTTGCCGTGTAGATAAGGTCATCTACATATAGAGAGAGTAAGAGAGTGTACTGACCTTGAGACTTGATGTATAGTGTGGGCTCACTCTTGCTTCTCCTAAATCCTTGATCCATGAAATATTGATCGATTCTGCTATACCATGCTCGAGGAGCTTGCTTCAAACCGTATAGTGCTTTTCTTAGTCTTAACACTTTGCTCTCTTCGCCTTCAGATATGAATCCTTGTGGCTGCTCCACATAGATCTCTTCTTCAAGTACATCATTGAGGAAGGCAGATTTGACATCCAGTTGATGTATACTCCATCCTTTTTGTGCCGCAAGAGCTATTAGAGCTCTGATGGTATCAATACGAGATACGGGTGCAAATGTCTCATTGTAGTCAACCCCAGGTTGTTGTGAGTAACCCTTAGCTACTAGCCTCGCCTTATGTTTCTGTGTGGTGCCATCAGGATTGAGCTTTGTCTTATAGACCCACTTAACCCCAATGATATCTTTTCCATGTGGACGATTTACTAACTCCCATATGTTATTTTTCTCAATCATCTTTATCTCTTCTTCCATTGCCTTGACCCATGCTTCATGCTTTGATGCTTCTTCAAAGCTTCCGGGTTCGAGTATGGCCATGTTGCAGGTTTCATATATGTCTCTCAAAGATCTTACTCGTCTTGGAGTAGACTCTGGTGATGATAGTTCTTGAACTTGTTGTTGTGGAGGTGAAGAAGGTTCACCTAGGACTTCTTCCTCAGCTTCTTCTTGAGGTAGTTGAGTGGGTATAAGAACATTCTTCTCCACTTTTTCTTCATCCCAATTCCAAGAAGCATTCTCATCAACTTCAACATCTCGACTGATGATGAGTTTTTTTGTTTGCAAGTTATATACACGGTAGCCTTTAGATATTGTGCTATACCCCCAAGAAGATACCTCGTATAGTCTTGTCTTCAAGCTTATGCCTCTTCACGTCTGGAATATGAATGTATCATATAGATCCAAAGACCCTTAGGTGCTTTGCTGATGGCTTCTTCCCGTTTCAAGCCTCAATTGGAGTCTTATCTTGTACAGATTTAGTTGGACATCTGTTGAGTAAGTAAACAGCAGTGTAGACTGCTTCAGCCCAGAATGTGTTTGGTAGTCGCTTCTCTTTGAGCATCGATCTAGCCATCTCCATAACTGTGCGATTCTTTCTCTCAGATACACCATTTTGATGAGGAGAATATGCGACTGTAAGTTGTCGCTCTATGCCTTCATCCTCACAAAATCTATCAAACTTGCGGGATGTGTACTCTTTGCCGCGATCACTTCTTAGTACTTTTATCCGTTTTCCACTTTGATTTTCAACAAGAGCCTTGAACCTTTTGAATACTCCAAAAAATTATGATTTTTCTTTCAAGAAATAGACCCATGTCATTCTAGAGAAGTCATCAATGAAGATTATGAAGTACCTGTTGTTCTCGTGTGATGGCGTCCTCATCGGTCCACAAACGTTAGTATGTATCAGCTCCAACAGATCTTTTGCTCTCCATGCTCCGCTTGTTGAGAATGGAAATCGGTGTTGCTTACCAAGGAGACATCCTTCACACACTTCATTGTTATCCTTTATGCTTGGAAGATCTCTCATCATGTTCTTATCATGTAACAACTTCAAGGCATGTGTGTTGAAGTGGCCAAATCTTCGATGCCAAAGCCATGAATCATCAACTTGTACCTTCATGGCAATGTTAGTTGTATATTTTAAATTTTGCGAGAAGCTTCTATTGCTCTTATTCATCTTCACTTCGGCTATCTCGGCCCTTTTATTCTTGTTGTCTAAGATTTTGCATACACCTCCTTCAAAGTGAAGTGTGTAGCCTTTCTCCATCATTTGGCCAATGCTTAGAAGATTTTCTTTTAGGCTGGGAACTAGTAAGACATCATGGATGAGTCGCGTACCTTTATCTGTCTCTACCACGACGGTGCCTTTTCCTTTTGACTCAACCACACTTCCATTTCCTAGTCGAACTTTGACTTTGACTGACTCATCAATGCTTTTGAAAATAGTCTCATCCTTGGCCATGTGATTGCTACATCCACTATTCAAGTACCAACTTCCTCCTTTTTCTTTGATTTATTCTTGAGTGGCATAGAACATACATTGTTCTTGATCATGCTCCTCTGCGATATTAGCTTGATGCCTATTTTTGTTGCGACAGTGTTTCTCTATGTGCCCGAATTTCTTGCAATGATTGCATTGTGGCATATTACGGTACCAACAACTTTTCTCCGCGTGGCCAGTCGTTTGCATATATTGCATGGAATATTTTTATCTGGATTGTTCTTTTGGAAGTTTCTAGGAACTTCCCTTCTTTTGGAAGTTTCACCATAATTTTTCTTTCCTCCATTTTCTTTATTTTGGGACTTAAATTTGAGCTTTGACTGGAATGCATTTTCAAGTGTATCTTCTTTATGACTATGTAGTCTTTGCTCATATGCTTCAAGAGAGCCCACTAGTTCTGTCACTGATAGAGTAGACAGATCTTTGGTTTCCTCTATTGTTGTCACGATTGAGTCAAATTTTGGGGGCATAGTAATTAGAATTTTCTCAACAATTTTCTTGTCAAGAATATCCTCCCCAAAAGCTCTCATTTGATTAACTATTTCTTTAACTTTAGAATAATAATCTTTAACTGTCTCAGACTCCTTCATCTTCAATAGTTCAAAATCTCTTCTTAGAGATTGAAGTTTGACAGCATGTACCTTGTCATTTCCTTGAAACTCCTCCTGCAACGTCTTCCACG